TAAAAACTACAAGGCGTCGTCAGAATAAATACGAGAGCATAGGATATCGCGTTTAAACTCGGAATTTTTACGTTTCGGAACTTATAATTCTTACGCGCCAACTTAAAGTCGCGCTGCAGCGTCGTCACGAATGACACTCTATCGACTTAAAAACTACAAGGCGTCGTCAGAATAAATACGAGGGCATAGGATGTCGCGTTTAAACTCGGAATTTTTACGTTTCAGAACTTATAATTCGTACGCGCCAACTTAAAGTCGCACTGCGTCGTCGTCAATAATGATACTCTATCGAATTAAAACTTACGAGATATCGATAGATTTCGTGCCGGGGCATAGGATATCGCGTTAGAAATAAAAAATTTTTAATTGGCGGAACTCGATCGCGATGTTTTCGCGTCAACTTTAAAGTGGATGGATCGTCGTCCGTAATGACTCTAGCGAATCAAGAATTGCGAGACATCGATAGATTTCGTGCCTGGGAATAGGCAATCGTGTCCGAACTGCAATATTTTTAATTTTCGGGACTTGCGATCTTTTTACGCCATCAAGTTATAAAAGTGTAAAAACTTAATTACTGGTTACAGTTAAATCCGAATAGGTGAACCCTCCGATCTTTTTGAAGCGGCACTGTTTTTTCGTATTTTTGAACGCTGATTACGTATATGACAATAAAAATTTGTGATAAGGTCATTTTCAAGGTCAAAACCATGAAGAATAGAGATAAGGAGGCTCAACTAATGCTTTCGAGAATGAGACCAAAACCCGGTTTCTGTGGTAGTTCAAAATATGTACACCGGCGGCGCTATGGTAGACAAACTATTGCTAAACAGAAGTCGGGAGGGGATAAATCATGGTACACTAATATATACACTCACACCGGGTCTACTAATACACACTCATACTGTGTATGTGAGAACGCTGTCGTGGAACGGAAGCGACATCTCGATTAGGATTTAGTACTAGCAGCGATGACAATTTTTGGGCTCAGAATCTGACGCATCCGCCCATATAAGTTGACCCTCCTTATCTCTATTCTTCATGGTCAAAACTAAAAACTGAAGAAATATAACTTAATTTTATAAACTTGTTGATTATTTATTAATTTTGTACGATATATAATTTATGTACGACTGTTTTGTTCTTCGTGTGTTTTTTTTTTCAGATTCTTGCATGGTATCGTCTCCTCCTGACGCTCTCTTTCGGCCGGTCCTTATACGCTGCTCGCGTATAGTGTTTGTTGGTGTCGGTACGACAGGTATCCTAACCTCACAACTGTCAGATTTTAACAATTTATAACTCTCTTATTAGTGCCGAGCGACAATTTTAACTTGCAAATTCGTGTTTTACAGGCAAAAATACACGATTCTATGAATTTTCATCAAAAACGGAGAATGAGAGACTCTCCATCAGTATTATCTGGAGACTTTATCGACAGTGCTTGAAAATGGGCGTAGCGGAGTAGTTTCAAAAATAAAAGTGGGCGTAAAGCGCTGGAAACTGCTTAGCGAAATGGTAACAAGTAAAACACCGGAGTGGCCGCTCTCAGGTTTCTCTCTGTTGTGACTCACCCCCACTACTGGAGTTCGGTCTCTTCGTCTCCAGTCTTCTTCGACCTTGGTAGCGAAAACAATTGCTAATAATGTGAAATAAATACCGAACACGGACGGCAACAGCAAACGTGCGAGGTATGCTCTCTACACTTTATTAATCATAAACGTGCAGCACTTATCTAATCTAATCCGACATCTGATCGGAAACTACTCACCGATTAAAGTCTTAAGAGGTGTTTTGTGAAAACGCACTAGGAGAGGCTTCCAATTTTGTTGCAGAGAAACTGAATCAGGCGAAAATAAATAAAAGAAGTCATGGCTACGAGTTTCATGGTGCGAAAGGGCCTGCGCTCCATCGGCGTTTACTGCTACGCTACGTGGAGCAGGTCGAGGAACTTGAGGCACGTCGGAGCAGGAATCCTGACGGGGTTCGCGGCGTACAGTGTATCTAGGGTTACGGTTTTCGCCGCGCAAAACGACCTGCATAATTACGTTAAGACCTTCATGGCGGAGCCCGTCACAGCCGTTGAAAAATTGCAGAAAAGCCCGAGCGACATGAGAACGCGAATGGAGCTGCTGGTGATGAAGACCCAGGCAGACTTCTGCCGGGCCCTCGAGTCGCTGGAGACCGACAAGTCGTTCAAGGTGGACCGTTGGACCAGGAAGGAGGGCGGCGGCGGTGTCACCTGCGTGCTGCAGGACGGCCAGGTGTTCGAGAAGGCCGGCGTCAACGTGTCCGTCGTGACAGGCGTGCTACCGCCAAGCGCGATCCAGCAGATGCGGGCGCGCGGCAAGAAGATGGAGGACTCGGTGCCGTTCTTCGCCGCCGGTGTCAGCGCCGTCATCCACCCTCGCAATCCCATGGTCCCGACGATTCACTTCAATTACCGCTACTTCGAGGTGACAAACCCGGACGGCAGCACGCAGTGGTGGTTCGGCGGCGGCACGGATCTCACTCCGTATTACCTGAACGAGGAGGACACCAGGCACTTCCACCAGGCGTTGAAGACCGCGTGCAACAAGCACGATCCCGCCTACTACGCCAAGTTTAAGAAGTGGTGCGACGATTACTTCAACATCGTGCACCGGGGCGAGCGGCGCGGTGTGGGCGGGATATTCTTCGACGACCTTGACACCCCGGGTCAGAACGAGGCGTTTCAGTTCGTCACCTCCTGCGCGGAGGCGGTCATTCCATCGTACATTCCCTTGGTCAGGAAGCACAAAGACGACGGCTACGGGTACTGCGAGAGGCAGTGGCAGCTGCTGCGACGGGGCAGATACGTCGAGTTTAATTTGATCTACGACCGCGGCACCAAGTTCGGCCTGTACACGCCTGGCGCGCGATACGAGAGCATACTCATGTCCCTGCCGTTGAATGCCAAGTGGGAGTACATGCACGAGCCGGAGGCCGGCTCGAGGGAGTCGCAGCTTCTGGAGGTGCTGAAAAACCCCAAGGATTGGCTGGGCGAAGCCAAGTCGGGCAATGCGCGAGTGTAGTTTGTAAAAGCAGTCGTGAAATGTAACATTCGCGAGTGCGAGGGGACCATGCAATACGGGTTATCTTAGTATATAAGTAGGATTTTTAATGACAGAGAGAAACCTACGGATGCGATATTTTCAGAGAGTTGACTTACGTAGGAAACTTGCAATATTTCGCTGACCACGTACGTCAACGTCAGCCGGATGTGATACTTCAAGTGCCAGACATTGCGGAACTGTGTCGTAAATGATCGTATAAGAAGAGTAGATGCGAATTTTGTACAATATACATGTATTAATTAATAACTGGTCTTGTATACAATCGTACGTACATTGAAATTTATATTTCCCGAAGAAATCAATACATAAAAGTAAAAATGAGATAAAAGAATGCAGTATATAAAATCTCTCGAGCCGCTTTAACGAACGACAGTCATTTTAAAAACTTAAATATTAAACATTATTTACAGTATAATACCAGGCATCGTTATCAGAAACGACCTGTTTTTCGTTAAGACGTATATGTGTATACTTATACGGAAGTCGGTGGTAATCATAGTCAATTTCGTAAATTTAGCTTAATACTCAGTCTTCGGGGTTTACAGAAAATTCCACTCCTAATTAGGCAGTTATACAAAGCAAGGGTCACCTTGCTGAAACGAGTTGCAATATCATATCCACTTTAGGTATCATATAAATGCGCGGCGAAGGTATTTCTAAACCTGTATAAAATATTACATAAACAATAATATCGCGATATGCTATAAAATTGAAATGTGATTATCAAGTAGATTTCTCGACGAAATTAAGGAGAAATATTTCACAGCCAAAATGATTTTACAATCATGTCTCTACGTGATATACATATATATGTATACATATGTGTATATATGTATATATATATTGGAGTATTTGTTCAGGATATGATGAATAATAACGCGAAATTGAGTTGGCTAAATTGAAAAAATTAACCCTAGGCTTTCGACACTTGAAGACCGGCCTCCGTGAGAAGTTGCCAATGCTTAAAAAGGAAATCTCACCGGAATCGGCGCGTCGGATCAACTGGAAGATGTTCCTTGAGATTATAATTGGGTTTCGTTGTAAAGTATTGTTTTACAATCAGTGTGTTGGTTTGCCTATATGAATGCCACAATAGCGAGTATTCCATACTCTGACTGTGACAATATTGTAATTGATTATTTAAATCTGTTGAACCTAACTTCTTCAACTGATCGAAGTTATTTCAAATAGCAGCCTTTGCTTAATCATACAATATTTATACTAGTTAAAATGAACCACCAAGCTGATTGAAGACTACTTTCGTAGGCGAAGGATTTTTTTCCATTATGTACAAAATCCTCAAATAATCGCGTCTCTAAACGCGACATAAATATTAAAAAGACATGAGCATTTAATATATGAGGCGCATTGAACACGCGATTCTAGTAAAGATTAACCTCGTAAAATACAAAATGTGCTACTCTCCTCATATTGCGCAGCCTATGAAATTATGCATAAAAATAAATACGTCGCTGTAGCAGACGAACGAATTGATCTATTATTTTATATTTGTATATGTGTGTATATATACATACATACCTACATATATATATGTATATATGTATAGATATATACGTTTGTATATATAAATATAAATCATATATATAATAATACATATGTATACATTTTATATATAAATTATATATAATAATATATAATAAATTATATATAATTTATACATAAATCATATAATATATCATTATATATTAAACACTCGTTTCTTTCTTAACTGGCAAATGGCTTATCGGCTCATCTATATAGATCTCGTTAGCCTCGAATTGCTGTATATCACTCGACTTCGCAGGCTCCGCACACGCGTTCATTTCGTCGATCAAATTGAGATTATTTATATCGCGCGAACTAGACCTACTAATTGACGGAATATCAGCGAGAGAACTCAAGTTCTTCTCCAGTGGAAGGTCCTTCGACTCGGGCGCGTTAAACACATTGTGATCCACGTTCGGCGGTTGTGCTTCCCCCCGAGAGTTGTTCTCCTCCAAACTCTTGTCGGAGATACAATGGATGTTCGACAGGGAACAGGTGTAGGGGGTCTCCGCGTGCGGCGTCAACATACACGGATTGTCACTGGTCAAGCTGTTGATCTCGAAGAGTGAACGGTCGAACGATTCTCGCGACTCGGGGACCTCCCGCCCGCATAGATTCGAGCTGGTTGTGCTTGGCGCATCTACGAGCGACGGTTTCGAGTACTCGCGGTACTTAGCGCTCGTGATGTCGTTCAGTGAATTGCAATAGCTGGTCGCCAGCGGCAGTTTCTCGCGCCCGAACGGCAGGCAGTACATGCTGTTGGAGAGATACAACCGTCCCACGTCTCTCGACGCGCCACCCTCCTCGGCGACGACCTCGACCTCGTTCACGCTGGGACACCTCTTCCTCGAGAAACGCTCCTCCCACGTTGTTTCCGCGGTCTCGCAGATCTCCGGCAGATTGTGATCGCTCCGCTCGCTGGTCATCTGAGTGATGGTGTCCATCTCGGAGCTGTACTCCAGACTGCACTGCTGGGAGACGTTCCGCAAGTGCCACTCCTCGTCCGTCTTCGAAACGTCCGCGTCCGAGTCGGGCGCCGTTCTCCTCGGCTGCGGCGTTTCTCTCGCCGCGCCGGACATGACGTTAACATACGGACCGTCCTGCTGCGCGCTGTTGTTGATCTTTTTGATACTGTGCATCAGATTCTCCTGACCGATGACGAAGCGTATCGGGATGCTTCTCTCTTCGGAGATGCTGCCGCCGCTGTCCGACAATATATTCACGTTTTTGACGTCGTTTATAGGGTTCAGCTCGACGTGTATATTGGTGTTGTTCACTTTAGCGCTGCTGCTCAGGATGCTGCGTTCCAGGCTGTTGTTGATCTTCGCAGTGGGCCGAGGTATAGAGACGCAGCTGCCGCCATCGCTGGTAGCCCCGCCGTCGCCCTGCTTTCTCGGGCCGAGATTATTCTTCTTCGCGGTCGCGTGTCTACGTTGCTTCTTGAAGAACTTCCTGGCGACACCGCTCTGATGGGGGTTGTAGAACATCTCGACGCAGGCCGACGACGGCTCGGTATACGTGGTGACGGAATTGTTGGAGCGATACTGATGGCGATGCATCACTATCAGATTCGCCGTTTTCGTGTTCACGGGAACGGCAGGTATGCTCTCTCGATTGGCCGTCAGGTCCGTGAGCTTGGAGCTGTTGTAGATCTGCTGCGACTGGTTGGTGTTCCTCGACGAAGCGACGGAGTTGGTGTCGGAAATCGCCTGGGTGGCCTGCGAGTTGGACAGCGGTGGGACGAAATTTTGCACCAGCGGCTGCGTCGGGATCGCGGCGTTCGCGTCGCACACGCTCCTGGTGCGGCAGCAGCGGTTCTTGCGCTTCTCCAGCCAGCATCGCATCTTCAGCCACTGGCTGCGCACGTCGTTACGAGCGATCCCGTAGAAGAACAGCACGAACACACCCAGCGAGCTCGTGGTGATGGCGTAGATCACGGCGAACACTGTCTCCTCGAACGGCATAAAGTCGAACGGCTTGATCGTCACCGCAACCGCGCCGGCCCAGGACATGAGGTATAGCACCAGCATTATGACCTGGCCCTTCCACTGCGTAAACTGCGAGTGCTCCGGGTCCTCGATGTCGGAGGACACCGTTTGCGTGCTACGCATGCTGTTCCTGTCCCCCGAGGGATTCGCATTCGGCTCCAACAGCTCCAGGTCCATATTCTCCGTGGCCTGAGTGCCCTCGGACAACTGCGCGTTCGTGTCGACGTTCTGGATCGCGCGTCTGATGAGCAGGAGGAAGATTAGCAGGTACGCGATAAGAATCCCGGACGGTATGAAGAGCGCGGCAAGCGCCGGCCCGGACGTGAGGAAGCAATGGGAGTAGCCGGCGTACTCGCGCAGATTGATCGCGCCGGATATCCCACAGATTATCAAGGCCACGCCCCATCCGACTAAATAGAGTCCTAACAGGGGCTTGGGTATAGGCTGATCCGGAAGCTCGTCGTCGGGTATTACATTGAGGCCTGGCTTCGTTAGTTTCTTATGCATGTTACTGAGACAGAAGGACCACGATTAACGTTTTATCCATTTTAACATGAGCGTGCGATATGTGACACTCACCTGGCGGACACCGCCATCCACAGGAGGCAACACAACGACAGATAATGTAGAACAAGGCCGACCCCCTGACAGATCTCGATGTGTTCCGTTTGCTGGATGCCGATGCTGTACAGGAACGACAACAGCGCCATGGCAAACCAGGTGTTGATCACTGAGTGCTTCGCCTTCTTCGGCATCGTGATAGACGTGTAAGAGATTATGTACGTCACGGACATGATCATCAGGCAAGTTATCATGACGAAACTTCCGACGTATATCGCGGGATGCGAGTACCTAAATTTCGCTCCGTGCAAACTGCAAAAGACACACGCGATAACGAATAGAATGTCAACGAAAAGACGGAGAAAATACTCGTGTGGGAAGGCCTCGCACCTATTTCCGTCCAGATGTGAAACTTCCTGCAAAAGTCCGTAATATCCCAGTCTGTCGCAATGAAAAACTATCAGATTATTCAGTAGATTGATTAATTGGCATCCATCGCTGGTCCATGCTCCCACGTTGTTCAACGTTTCGTCCCACACCACGGGTGTCGGCCTCATCCCGTTGTAATAGTACAACGGGGCCTTCAGCATCACGTAAACCGGTTCGGACAGATTACGTATTGACGTACCAACTGCAAAAAGTTACGCAACTTACTCGAACGAGTCGTGGAAGGTAGATTCTGTGCGCTACAGTTTTTCGACTTACTTAATTTGCTGCCGACGATACACGTCGACACGTCCATGCTGTCGTTGACAATCGTCTTGGGGAAGAATCTGCTGTCGCTGTACAAAGATATCATAAGCTGCTGAGCCAGCGCGCCGTCTTGCGCGTGCTGCAGCAAAGAGGCGGGTAACTGGATGGAAGCCTCTATCGTCTTGTCCTTCGTGCTGATCGGCGTCGTCCTGTTGATCGTCGTGCAGTGCAGGAACCTCGCGTCCGAGTCGGCACTCGTGGCGACACTTGTGTACCACGTGCACGTTAATCCGCCGAAGCTGTCGCGCTTGACTCGAAACTCCTCGAGCGCCATGTACTTTTTGTGCGACTGTATGGACGGTGCGTATTCCACGATACGCTCGACCGCTTTGACCAGCCTCGTGCACGCCTTGAAATGTATTTCCGCCCTCCTCAGCATCTCCTTCGGCAGTCTCATCATCGAACTGACGATGTCGACCAGCATGGTTCCGAGCTCCTTCTCGTCCATCAAGAAGCTCAGGTAATTCTCTATGGTTCGTACGATGAAGTGCACCTCGACCGGATCTGTCAGCTTCACCGAGCCGTTTCCCGTGTAATTTTTGAATCTCTTAGCCGTCTCCAGCAGAGTGCTTTTCGTCAGAGATAGATTAACCTTCGAGAATTGCTCCAAGATCTTCGTCGTGTGAGATATGTATGGGCACGATTCCGTATTTAGATATTCCCACTGGCCGCTCATGTTGCAGTGATAAAAGGCTTTCAGGGGCGCCTGCATCATGCCCGTCAGACGATTGCCCTCGCACGGCAGCTCCGCTTTCCAGCCCACTATCGTTTTCGGCCACGTGTAAATGCCCTTGTTGTCTCTCGTAACTGAAAGGAGATCGCGCGATTAAGCGATACTTTAGCGCCGTAGAGGGACTCGATTCATTACCTGTCAGAGGACAATAGCGCGTATGCTCGGATATTACGATAACGCTGAGCGCCTTCGATTTGTTGCCGTTTACGGAAACCAGTAAACAATTCCATTGACCGTTGTGCTCCTCCTTGATTGGGACTATGCTGAGAGCACTGAGAGAGGCAGCGCGAGAGACACTGTGATTATTCGACGCATATTTCATTCGGGCAATTGGAGAAATTTTATGTTACCTGTCCACGATGCCGCTATCCGAAAGATACCTGTTGTCAACCTTGATGTTGGGCAAGTTCTCGCGCGGATCCTTGTAGGCGTTTAAATCCACGACCTCGGCGGAAGCGTTAGGATACCACAACCAGCTCAACTTGGCGGTCTTGTCTACCGTAATGCTGGGCGCTCGGCACTTCAACGTAATCGAATCTCCGGCGAAGACCACCTGGTTTTGAACCGGGCGAATTTCAATCGTCGGCGATATCCATTGACACTGAAGCTCCTCCATGAATCTCATTTTCTTCAAGGACTGCCCCTTGGCAAATGCCGGCAACACGCACTTGGGCGTCGGACTGAAATATTGAACCACAGCATAGAGGAACGTCAACGCGAGTGATTCGAGCGGTCGATCGGGGATACGCGATATACGTACTTCAATTTAATTGAAGAATTGTAGATCCAATTACTGAACCAATATAGGTTGCAGTCACATTCCCATGGATTAGTAGACAAGTCGCTGGAACACATAAGAGTCACGTTATAAATTGCATGCATCGATTAGAGATGAGTGCAAATCGCTTTTACTCACAGCTGTTTTAGCATTTTGAGCCCGTGAAACGTTCCCTCTTTCAAGGTAGTTAAACTGTTTCCGTTTAATTTCCTAAAATATAGAGGCGCATGTTCGTAAAAGTACGTATTTCCATGCAGCAATACGCACGTAGAAAGCTATTGAAATTAATATTTGCTAGCGTAAATAAATCACAACTTACAAATGATCTAAGGCCAACAAATCATGAAATAAGGACGGCGCCAGAGTAGCAATTTTATTTCCCGACAAATCGCTAGAGCAACAAAGCAAAGAATGCGTAAGACAAAAAGAAATATCTTTGCAGGAAAATATTTGTGTGTCTCTCCATCATCCTAGACTTACAGCCTTTTGAGATTCGGTAATTTCTTGAACGCATAGCTGTCTATCGTCGATATCCGATTCTGGCTCAGATCCCTGAAATCACGAAATTTACAAGATTGCAGAGGACCGAATCGAGTCTACGGAGGTGAACTTTCGCTTGTGTATGAATCCTTACAATCGCTCCAAGTTCTCCAAGCCGTTGAAACATCCCTCGCCCACGGAACTGATCTTGTTTCTCGACAGATCGAGCCGCCTGAGATTTGTCAGATTCGCAAACGCGTCCGCCTGAACGACGTAGATGACGTTCTTGCTCAAATCCCTGCAATTTATTCGACCGTTGTCGCATGCGTCGTCGGGCAAAAGCACACGCCTGAGCGGAACGGCAGTCTTGTGCTCTTAAGATACAAGACAGTTATTGTGTGTCACTCTACAGCTTAATCTACAATGTGCTTTTTGCGTCTAGAAACATTCTATTTTGTAGCCAATAAATATCTTAAAAATTTTGTCCAAGTTAATACATTGTACAATCGTGCATTGTCGGCAAATCTTTTAAGAGTTTTGATTTGCTTATAAAAACAGTTTCTAGACGCAAAAAGCACATTGTAGATTAGATTGAAAGTCTAATCTACAACGTGCTCTTTGAATCTAGAAACATTCTATTTTGCAGCCAATAAATATCTTAAAAAATTTGTCCAAGTTGATAAATTGTACGTTGTACAATCGTGCCTTGTCAGCAAATCTTTTAAGAGTTTTGAGACATTTTCTAGGCTTAAAACCTAATCTACAATGTGCTGTTTGTTAAAACATTCTATTTTGTAACTAATAACGTGTTCCTAAACGTGCTTAAGAAATTTATGCAAGCTGATAAATTGTACATTATACAATCGTGCATTGTCGACAAATTTTTTTAAGCGTTTTGATTTGCTCACGAAATCGAATAGCAGAGAGTACATTGTGGATTAGACTTTAGACCATTCAAGACACAAAACACCGTCTCAAGAGAACAAGACGGCCGTTCCGCTCGAGCCTTAACGAGACAGCCCTACAGTTGTATGAGCTCCACGCTGACTTTGTTGACGTCCACGTCCTTGATCTCCTCCAGGCGGTCGCCGCACTTGAGGCGCAGCCATTCGGCCTGGGCGCCGACCTGCTTGCATATGCAGTGCTGCGGGCACACGACCGCGCCGGCCCACGTCGGGAGCAGAATAGCGAGCAGCAGACTGGCTCTCATGATTAGAGGAAAGCGGCCGTTGCTCTGAAAAGTACCAAAATTCAATACCTCGCCGCCGTAAAACGGGGGGGGGGGCAGAGCGTCGCGCGAGCACGCGTGCGGTTTTTGCCGTGCGAGATGCTCCGCGCGACTCGCACGAGTGCTCCGAGTCGGGGGCGGGTGGAGTTTCCTCGAGGAAGACACTCGGGTACAAATAGGAGGCGGGTGAACGAAAAAAAAAAACGAAGAGAGACAAGAAAAGTACTTGGCCATCGCACACTCCCCGACGAACGCGTGCACGCGCGAGAGGGACGCACGCCCGCGGAGGTCGTCGTCGCAGGGCCCGATTCCACGCGACGGAACAACGCGCGCGATACGGGGGCGAGAGACGGGGACGGGACGGGGACACGCGTGTCCCGGGATACTCACGGCCCAGTTAACGGTCGCGGCTCTCACATTGTCGCGAGGCGAGGATTTTAAATAGCCGCATTTTTATTCGCGTAGCCCGCGATGTTATTGACGCCGCGGACCCCAGGGTGGACTAGGTAGAGGCCGAATCTGGAACACGACGACGTGTCCGCCGCGGCGCCACCTGGCGGCGGCGGCCGGCAGCATCCGGCGAGTACTCACTGCGCTGCGCGTAGGGCCCGGCTCTCTCTCTCTTCAATTCACACGGGATCGTTTGTTCTCGGGGTAGGCGCGACGACGTGTTTATTTCCACAATCGCGAGCGGTCGCCCTCGCCTCGCCCTAGCGCCGCGTCGACGGGCGATGAGCCGCGTCCCCGGACGCTGGACTGCGCGCCTACGGCGATAACCTCCGGCGAAGCGCTCGCACCGTCTGATGGTTGAACCGGGAACTGTCCGGGCGTCAACTGAGGAACCCGCGGAAGACATTGTTCGCCGGGAAGACCGGGAGAAGATGCTGTTTGTATATCGGTTTATCAAGCGCCCGGGGAAGACAGTGTAAACAGAACGCGAGAACGAGGGGAGCGCGCGACATAACCTAACGGGCGGTTGCCGCGGAGGGGAAGAAAGAGCTCGCACCGCCTGCCTTGTGAATTGCGAGACGGCCGGAGATGTCGATCGAGATAGAATCCGCCGAGTGAGTGACGCGACTTCTATTTGTTTCTTCATTCTTCGTGTGTAGTACTCGTCGTTTTAACTCTTTTTTTCTTTTATTAATTCACGTATGAAGATCGAAACGTCCCGCTTACGTTAGCAGAGTATTTCATTTTGATATCCCTTTTCTGTACGTTGTCGGGCGTTTCGAGACGTTTCGACTGCCGCAGGATTGTATGCGGCAAGTATGAGCAAGCAATCATGCTAGGTGCGTTGTTGCTTTTCAGTGTGATTCGGCTGATACAGCAGTATCTGAAGGAGTCGAACCTTGTGAAGACGCTGCAGACCTTACAGGTAGATACCCCTTCGGCGTTTCAACGCGCGCTTTCCCTTGCCGCTCGCTTGCTAATACATTTTTGCACGCAGGAGGAGACGGGCGTGTCGCTTAACACCGTGGACAGTGTGGACGGATTCGTCGCCGATATAAATAACGGACACTGGGACACAGTTCTGAAAGCTATACAGTCGTTAAAGTTACCTGACAAGAAACTCATAGACTTGTACGAGCAGGTAGTTGCGCTGAATTAGAATTATACGTTTAGAGCTTTACTCTTTTGTATGTCTGTAACGCCGGGATTTTTGTAGACAGTCGATTGCGCTTGCCTTGTATCTCCTGACGAGAAACGGCGACGTGCATCAGCAAGAAATAATGTTTAACGAATGCTTTATCGTTCTTCAGGTGGTTTTAGAGTTAATCGAGCTGCGAGAATTAGGCGCGGCACGTTCCTTGCTAAGACAGACTGACCCGATGATCATGATGAAGCAACAAGAACCCGAGAGATACATTCACTTAGGTAGACATTTTACTCGACCGAGATCTTTGTAATATCGTACAATGTTGCTCACACGATGTGTGTACATTGCTTTGCAGAGAACTTACTCGCGCGCTCGTACTTCGATCCGCGCGAGGCGTACACCGACGGGAGCACGAAGGAGAAACGACGAGCGTACATAGCCACCGCTCTCGCTGGCGAAGTCTCGGTAGTACCGTCCAGCAGACTGCTCGCCCTGTTGGGACAGGCGTTGAAGTGGCAGCAGCATCAGGGTCTGCTACCGCCCGGCACTACGATAGACTTGTTCCGCGGAAAGGCGGCGGTGCGCGACCAGGAGGACGAGAAATATCCGACGCAATTGTCGAAGCAGATCAAATTCGGCCAGAAGTCGCACGTGGAGTGCGCGCGTTTCTCGCCCGACGGCCAGTACCTCGTGACCGGCTCGGTGGACGGTTTCATCGAGGTGTGGAACTTCACGACCGGCAAAATAAGGAAGGACTTGAAGTACCAGGCGCAGGACAACTTTATGATGATGGAGCAGGCGGTCCTGTCGATGTCGTTCAGTCGCGACAGCGAGATGCTGGCGGGCGGCGGTCAGGATGGTAAAATCAAGGTCTGGCGGGTGCAGAGCGGACAGTGCTTGAGGAGGTTCGAGAAGGCGCACTCGAAGGGCGTGACTTGCCTACAGTTTAGCAGAGATAACAGTCAGATATTGTCGGCTTCGTTCGATACTACTATAAGGTAAAGTAAAAAGAGTTATACTTTTTCTTTCACTTCGACGCAACAAATGTGACATTAACGGAACGAATGTTGCAGGATACACGGCCTCAAGTCCGGGAAAACTCTTAAGGAATTCCGCGGTCACTCTTCGTTTGTCAACGAGGTCATCTTCTCTCCGGACGGCCACAATATAATTAGGTATTTATCGCAAGTATTACTGCAAACCGGAAGTAATAATTTCCATCTTTACCAAACGCGCGTCGTTGTCTTGCAGCGCGTCGTCGGACGGTACCGTGAAGATCTGGAGCTTGAAGACCACCGAGTGCATAGGCACTTACAAGTCATTAGGAGCCGCTGATCTCACGGTAAACAGCATACACGCTCTTCCTCGAAACCCGGAGCACTTCGTCGTGTGCAATCGTTCAAATACGGTGGTGATTATGAATATGCAAGGGCAGATAGTGAGATCGTTCTCCAGCGGTAAGCGAGAGGGCGGTGACTTCGTGACTACGGTGGTGAGTCCGCGTGGCGAATTTATCTACTGCGTCGGTGAGGATCTCGTGCTCTACTGTTTCTCCACGTCGTCGGGAAAGCTCGAGAGAACGCTCAACGTGAGTACGAGTTCACGGTTCTGCGTGAATCCGTTCGATCCGACTGACAGCGTCCCGGTCTTTTCAGATACACGAGAAGGACGTGATCGGCTTGTCGCATCATCCCCATCAAAATTTGCTATGTTCTTACAGCGAGGACGGACTGCTGAAATTGTGGAAGCCGTAAATAAATAAGGAAACTTATACTTCTTTGTATATTTAAATACGAAAGTAAGAAGAACGGCGTCCCCGTGTACTACAATACAGCATTTTTTACAGCGACTGGTGTTACAGGTTTGTCCCCCGATTATTATGCAATTGTTATTATTCCATTTGTTTTTTCATCGTGGCACTGCCCGTAATGTGCTGCCCAATGGAAAAAGAAGAGATACAAAACACGCACACAGATATTAATACGCATAATTTCGAAACTCGAATAAAAGTAAAATAACACAATTTTCTCGCGTGGCGAGGGTGCGAAGATTGTGAACCTTCACACAGCTTCCCTTTTACGTTTTTCACGATTCCGCTTCTTGTTAGGGCGAGTTAACGAGCGAAGGAAAGGCGTGATTTTTCATGGAAAAGTCGTCGATATCGCTGAAGCATTCGACATAACGCGTTCTACGCGGACAATAATAGGCATTACACGCTCGGCTGTATCTGATCGTGCGAACCTAATCGTTACAGCGTCGCCGACGTTAGAGGCAGGTAGATAGGATACGGGGTGGGTGGCTGGTCGGGCCCCGCTCGGGACCGAGTGCACCTCCTTCCCGTACCTAATCCCCCTACGCGTCGTCACGTAGCGCGGGCCCTTAGCCGGCGCGCGCTCCAACGTAATTGGGCCCGAGCAAATAAGCAATCACTATATTTCGGCTCGGCAAATATTATAATAACAGACTGGTGGGGTTAACCGGGTTATCGCTCGTACGATCGGTGGTCGGCTCAGGCGTCTTAGACAGCGCCAAAACCAGCACCGACCTGCTGCTCCTTTTTGCGCGCGTCCGCTTACGGCTCGTACGGCCGCTTACCGAAAACGACCCTTCGTTAATATCTTCATAAAACCCTATGCGCGAAAATGTATCCGGCCGAGGGCCGGCGATTAATCAAGCCGATCCGGCAGAGCGTGGGTCTAATCGAAGCGCAATCTTACTCCGAGATCCTTGCTTCTGGTCGATGACATAAGATCCCTCTCTCGGTGCATCTTTGCTCCTTTTTGTCCCATCGTCACTTTCGATGTAAACAACTCCAATTTTAATTTTTCTTCTTTTAAGCGAAGACCGACGTGTGAGATGGGTCGAGAGAAAAAGGAGTTATTGTTCATATAAATCTCTTAATTCGCACGAGAGGTTCTCGTATCTTTAATATCAAATATTTTCGCAAGTTACAATAAACTTTTCTCGATAGGTCTAATAAAAAATATTATTCTAAACGCTCATTCCTATAATTTATGACGCGTTTCATCGTCTTCCACCGGTATAGAACCTGACATTTATGACGACACAAGTATAGTGATATAACGAGATCGGCGGGATTAGAAGACCGCGTGAAAGTTCACCGTCGGTCCTTTTGGCATGTAATCCACACGTGGAAACAAATGGACCGGAAAGTCGTTTCGCTTCCTTCTTAGTCCCGGCTAATGCGACTTTAATGTCATTGGAAGTTTTTCACTTTACTTCAGCTTCCTGTCGGTGCAGTTGGCCCAATTATCGGTTGGATTTTTGGTTTCACCGCCGAGCTCTCTTCCTTGTAGTTATACCGCCGGCGCCGCCGTTGATCTTTACGCGATTTTTGATCGCTCTTTGATTACTTGTGAGTTGCTATACAGAAAGCAAGTGCAATCAATGTTGGTAACGAAAACAAGCGCAATATAATTTTACAACAATAACAAGTTCTCGCAGTTGCGTTCTATCTACTAGTCTGTCATGAATTTAAAAAAACTACACGGGGGGGGGGGGAGATTTCTCTTAAAATTTGCCCTGAAAATGTAATCGTGGAACAACATGGCACTTTGAAGAATGCCAATTTTACAACAGTTTTTTAATTTTACCATACATTTCACTAATAAAATGTATAAAGTATACGTAGAAATTAATAGTCGATAATTCTACACGAAGAGAATATTTCTTATTAAATTTATCTGAAAATCACGTAATCGTGGGACAAGGCATTCTGAAGAATTTTATGCGAGTTTTTTGAAATTCTACTATACATTTGATACACTAGTAAAATTTCAAAAAAACTCGCCTAAAATTCTTCAAAATGTCTCGTCCCGCGCTTACTTGATTTTCAGCTCAATTTTAAGAGAAAAATTCTCTCCGTGTAGAACTATCGACTATTCATATTTCTATACTATTTAAGTATATACTTTAAAAAGGGAAGGATAAAGTGGGAAAATAAATTGTTTAATTTAACCACATTTACGGAAGTCATGAAATCTCTCAGGAAAAATTAGAAACCAGTCATTTTTTGACTGCTCTATTCTAGTCAGGATTGGGAAAGTTACTTTATAAAAGTATCTAGTTACAATTACAGTTTTTTCGCTAAAAATGTAACTAGTTACAGTTACAGTTACTCCAAAAGTAACGAGTCGTTACTTTGCAGTTACTTTCTTGCAATGAAACTAAAAATATCAAATCTGCATTTGAAAGTAAAATCTGCATTGTAAAGCGTCGATAAAGGCATTTATGTGCAAATGCAAGGCCTGATGCAATCTGCGGAGGTTTAAAATATGTATACTCGTATATAAAGTAAAGCCAGCGGTACACGATACTATTTTTCCTACTGGATTGCTTACGAGAACCAATAAGGATATAGAGTTTTAGATCAGGTGACTTACAGCTAAATCCTGATTGGCTCCCCTAAGCAATCCAGTAGAAAAAAAATAGTATCGCGTGCCGTTGGCTTAACGAAGTTAAGTTAGAGTTACTAAAAAAAGGTAACTGTAACTTTGTTACAAGTAACGAGTTTCTTCCCAACTCTGGTTCTAGTTGCTTGTGCGAAATTTAAGTACGCTTTAAATAAATTTAAGCCACGAATTTGAATCAGTCTACCGGGACACGAAACGTTTTGCTTCTGTCGCTCCTTTATACTTTATTTATCTAATTGATATCCCGATGTTGCAAGAACACAAAGAAAACTGATAATCGAAAGGGGCTGCCTGGGCCCGGGATAATCGACGATTTCGTGTATCTGTGTCTGTGACCTACCGCGAGGCTGCACGCTCGGAACGATTAGACTCAACGCGCCGCGTGTCTGCGGGGCTGTTTTGTGTCCGAATGAAGCGCGTGTAATGATATTCCAGCGTGTGCGGTAAAGGATTTTCGAGCGGTCGAATTAACTGTGTATACGCGGCCGTTACACGGAAAACCAGATGCCACTCTTAGCGTTACCGGTACCGTAACCGCCGTTCCGCGACCGCGGAATCATCGCTGCCGCTGCTCGGAGAGGCGGCTTAAGCCTTTATCAGGCGCGCACGTGACAATCGCGTCGATTACAGATTACAGAAAACGTATAATAAAGCGCGATTGCGTAACGAAATGCAACGAGGGAGGGAGGGACAGGGGAGGCAGGTGCCTCGGAAAGTTTCGTGAAAGGAGAGGAAGGCGAGTACCCCCATTGCGAGGGAGGAACTACGAACGGTTGGCCTTCAGGGAAGGAAATTCGCTTCACTAATTCCGCTTCTTCCGACGTGATATCGTACGAGTGCCTTCGGACGTTATCGGGTCGATCCAGAGAGAGCGGCGCTCTTTCCACCCTTTCGCGCGCGGATCTTTTAACAGTAACATCATCCGTCCGTCTACGATTTTTTTTTTAGAAGCTATAAGGTCTATTTTATTCTTGTACTTATTAGCAATTAGGCGCTGCTTAAGAGTCTTTGCCGAAGTATTGGCGGATATTAATAACTCGAGGCGAATCTTTCGAGGAAGGCGAATCGTTCCGGGGTTGAGCCGGTGATGATATTAGCGATACGCGGACCTCAGGGCCTCCTAGCTCTCGTTTCCGTATTTCCGGAAGACTCTCCAATTTCGCGATCATAATTTGTTAATAATTGGACATTTTGGTTGTGGGCCCAATGGTGGAAGGGCCTTTCCTCTCGCTGGCCAACTGGCCCCAGGTGTGTGCACGGGGAGCGTGGCGGACGCGTGCTTCTCCCCTCTTTTAACCTTCGCTTGCAGCCGAACGCGCTCGATTCGACTCGCTCCTTGCTTCTTCTTCTTCTTCTCCTTCGTCTCGCCGTTGTCTTCCTTCGCTTCTTGCACCCCGTATTCTTCCCCGTATTCTTCCCTTCCGTTCGCTCTCGTTTCTCCGAGCGCGCCTCCGAGCGCACCCGCCGCAATTTGGCGCGCGCGCACGCGGAATTCCTATTCGCGGATATATTGATTTGCGAGAATGGGAGGATATGGAAGCGTAGAATAAGCGGATTACAACGTGACATCACGCGTGAGAGATGCAAACAGAGTCGAATTAATTGGACAGTCAAATCAAAGCCCGAAGAAAATCTTTATCAATTCGGACAGTTTTGTTCTTTCTTATTTAATCATGAATTACATTGAATAATTTTTCACTTTCACAATTTTTTTCTCACAGAGTCATAAAGCTACGTCAAACGGCGTGTTCTCCAACGGTCAATCGGTGGATTTTCACTGAAAACAGTGAATAGTCGCTGATTCACTGTTATAAGTAGAGGAAAATCTCCTATTATGAGGCAGGATCCTAATATGGGACAGCGGTGTTTCTGCTGAATTAATTGGGATCATCTGTTAGTGCCACCATGAATTTATTGCCCTCGAAGTGAAATCTGTCTAGTGGAAAATTGATTGTTAGATCGTGTAATCGTTGCGAAAAAAAGATCTGTCATTGCATTTGGACGTTGAATACCTGCTACCTCATAATAGAGGACTTTCCTCTATACCACTGCGATTTTCAGTGGCATACTTATAACTGTAAATTAGTGGCTGTTCGCTGTTTTCAGCGATGATCCACTGACTGACTTTTAGAGAGTGACAGAGTTCATTCGCGAAAGTCGAGGGCGGATCGAGCGGAGAATCGGCGAGTGAAAATATAATTATTCACGTTAGAGTAAATTAGTGACAGATTTTTCGTTGATTGCCGTGCAATCAGCGTGGCCTCGGCGGACGAGACAGTAAAATGGTTAAATGGGGTATCGTCGTGCGCGTAGCTGGGCCAAGAGACGGTAAGTCTCGGGCGGTACCGCGGCGGGGAGGGATTTGCATTCGCGGAAAGGTGGCAATTATCTCGCGGAACGGAATATAACGCAATTATCGAATTAACCCTCGCACCCCCACATAATTGCTCGCGACTTCACGATTTAAGTGGATAATCATTGGGAACCGGCTGACCCGGGCGAGCGCCGAAATTCGCCGGTCCGAGCATCGGGGAATGTGGGGCGGCCGATCGAGCGGTGCATCGTGTAATT